TTAGAAAAACCTTTTCTGAATGGTTCCTCGGTATTGTTATGGTTCGTGGAAAGTAATCTCACAGGACCCATCAAGGATGCAGAATTAAAGAGGGGAATGCTTGGGCTCTCCTCGAGTGCGGTAGAAGATACCCCTATCACCCAGAGGGCGGGAAATAAGCATGATTAACGATACAAACGAATTCACAGAAATACTAAGTGGAATGGTATACTAACCCTGAGAGGTATTTGTTACATACTAGAAGTGAATTTTCAATAAGATCAAGATTTTATTGTATTATTTGTTCTATGTTTTCTTTTATCACTTCAGTTTGCAACCATGACAGATGGCATATAAAGTACCTCACGGCATATGTATTTCTGTATGAATTACCTATGGTTGCACTGGTCGGATGAGAAGGAAATGAGCCATGGCTGCTTTCTAAGCTCTTCAAGTTCGGGTTCTCTAGACGAAGTTTATTCAAAAGGATTGCAACAAAGAGAGCCACCCCTGTGGCCATTAGTGTTCCTCCACCAATCATAAATGCTATTACTCCTGGACCTATATGATTTTTCTTGTGCTTGATTACTCTGACAGGAGCCTCGTGTACTTGGGGAGGAGCCTCATTTACCCTGGGATGAGCTTCATTTACTCTAGGAGGAGCCTCGCTTACTCCAGAAGGAGCCTCATTTACCTTCGGATGAGCCTCATGTACTCTGGGAGGAGCCTCTCGTACTCTGGGATGAGCCNTATGGTTGCACTGGTCGGATGAGAAGGAAATGAGCCATGGCTGCTTTCTGAGCTCTTCAAGTTCGGGTTCTCTAGACGAAGTTTATTCAAAAGGATTGCAACAAAGAGAGCCACCCCTGTGGCCATTAGTGTTCCTCCACCAATCATAAATGCTATTACTCCTGGACCTATATGATTTTTCTTGTGCTTGATTACTCTGACAGGAGCCTCGTGTACTTGGGGAGGAGCCTCATTTACCCTGGGATGAGCTTCATTTACTCTAGGAGGAGCCTCGCTTACTCCAGAAGGAGCCTCATTTACCTTCGGATGAGCCTCATGTACTCTGGGAGGAGCCTCTCGTACTCTGGGATGAGCCTCATTTACCCTGGGATGATCACCATTTACTCTAGGAGGAGCCTCACGTAATCCGGGAGAAGCCTCATTTACCTTGGGATGAGCCTCATGTACTCTGGGAGGAGCCTCTCTTACTCTGGTATGAGCCTCATTTACCCTGGGATGAGCCTCATTTACCCTGGGATGAGCCTCATTTACTCTGGGAGGAGCCTCACTGGGACGAGAACAATTCTGGATGACATTTGCCTGAGTCGTGGGTGGGCTACTAGTGTTCTGCTCAATTGACATGGTATCTGGCGGAAAACTCCAGGGAGGAGAGTTATCAGCCACATGGAATTTATTGTCTCCAATCCTAAGTGAAGGTATAGAGTTGATTATGCAATGTTTTGCGTTCATTATTTCAATTTGATGCTAGAAACTAGTGGTGGTGAACCACACTTGAAATAGTTTTCACTGACCATAAATTCAGTATGGATTGAAAATGCTGCGGAAGAATGCCACTAAACAGATTATCTTGAATGTTCCTGGCAATATAGGCAAATGAGCAAGTAATAGAAGGGAAAATATACATTGGGAAAATGTGAATGACAACCCTACAAATCTGTTAGCGGAAGTTCAGCCAAGTAGGTGACTGATCCAGTGAATCTGTTATTCTGCAGGAACCTGCATACAAGAACCATTTTATAGATAAAAAAGCAGACCCTAATAAAGTATAGTTATGCCTTTGAGTATATGATGAAACAAAAATCAAACTTAGAAAAGTAAATAAGGAAAGTTTTCTTACAATCTGGCAAGGTTTCTTAAGGAACCAAATGAATATGGTAGATCTCCTGAGAAATTATTGTATGAAAGGTCCCTGAAAAAAGAAAATCCTTTTCGAGTCCATAAAATGATATTTGAACAAAAAAGAATGTTATCGTTAGTAAAGCTCTATTTAAAGACATACATTTCTTTGAGATTATTTAAAGCACTAAATACATCACCGATTGGTCCATGTAGTAAATTGTGGCTTAAATTCCTGAAAGACAACATACAATAACAATGATTTCAGTCATTAGTATATTTAATTAATGTGAAGAATAAACTTTAATTAATGTTTAAGCATATTTACTTGTATTACCATCTCTATCAAATCAACAATAATATAGCAAGTAAACTAGTATAATTGTTCACAGTTTAGTTCTAATTTTTTTTTATTGTTTTCTGATGACCAGTAACATGAAAAAAAAGGTTTAGATAGTTTAAAGACAGAATCAAACACATAATTTTCCTCAGGAGTAAATTTCAAACGTGGTAACCTTCCGACGAACGAAATTCCATTTTACTCCAATGCAGCTCAGACGACATAGATTTTTACCACTGGGATATTTGGTTCAAATGGTTAAAATAGTGGAAGCTTTATTTTCTTTCCAAAATACAGAATCATAAGAACAACTCTGCTACATATATACTGGCATGCTTATCACAAGCATATAATTAATTTTGCAGGAACAAGGTGAAGAGAAGCTGACTTACATATATGTGATATTGGAGGGTAAACCGAATGGAATTTCGCCCTCTATGTTATTTGAACTGACATCACTAAAGAAACAAAATCTGGAAATAAACAAATAGCAGATTTGACGATAAAATATCTTGATAAGAGCCTAATACCGTACAAACACTCACAGTTGATTCAAGTTAGGTAGATTATATAGCAGACTTCCAATATACCCTGTGAGGTTTAATCCTTGAAGTTTTCTGCTTTTAGAGAGAGAGAATTACAGATAGTTATTAGTGACATTGACTATGAAAAAAATAGGAAATATAATCAGTGGACTTTGTGCACTACAGCTGTATAACTGATGGTCCAGAACAAGCAACTCCTGTCCAAGACTCTCCACAAGGATCGCTACCATTCCATCCGTTGAGCACAGGTGGGTAGTTAAAGGTCCTGTATAGATCCTGCAGAGCTGACACTATTTATCCAAAAAAAAGTACGACAAATATATAGTTTAGAGAATGAGAAGGAAGATAGTCCACCGTCAAACATTATGATAACATTTAATAGTAATAATAATAATAATAATAATACCTGAATATATAAGTTTAAAAGATGAAACTAGCTTTTAGAATTCATTAAGGATGGCAGAATTGCAAATCTAGAATATCAAACTGAATTCAGTGACAATAAAACAAGAAGTCTAAATAAAACATAGTCTAAAAATTTTGGTTGCAACCAAACGCTTAGTACGATTGTAACGAATAAATGTTTCAAATATGCTTCCAAGAAAAAGAAAATCTAGGACAAAAAAAGGAGTGAACAAAGTTATTTATCTAAGTTACCTTCGCTTGGATGCGTGAACGCTAAGATCTGAGAAATCAAAATTGAGAATGCAAAGAGATTAAGATGCACATAGAGAAAGTGGCGAATCATTTTCCTGAGAATCGGAAAACACAAGACACAGAAATATCAACAATGTGTTTTCTTTGCGTTTTATCGTTCTTTCTAAGTTCCCAAACATGCATACAATTTGTTTCTGGTTAATGGAACTCGGATAGAACTTAATGGAAGAGAAGATTTTGAGGGAAAAACAGAAGAAAAGGAAAAAGAATCAAGATTGCATGAAACTATAGTGACAGTGTCACAGTGAGAATGGTGTCTTCAACTGTTTCTGTACGCAGGGTTAGTTTCTGTTGTGATGGGGTCCACGTAGCTTAGTCCGTTATATTGGTTTTGGCGCGAAACGAGTTATTGGGCCTGCTTGCCTGCCAAAGTCTACTGGGCTTTGATGGGGAACTGGACCTGTGTCTAATTATTGAGGGTTATTTCTTCTTGCAACCCCACAATTATAACTACATTTACAAGCTTTAACACATGACGTACCGCAACTCACCAAAGCATCACGACACCCAACAACCAACGTCACCTCGTGCTACCTCCACCCGGTTCAACCTAAACTATACAGGGGAATATGAAATTCTCAAAACACGAAATAGGCCATTTAACATGTCCTTAATCATCGTTATCACGTCTATGAAATTTCCATAATATTATATTAATAACGATTATTGTAGAAGTATCGTATATAACTTGTAAGAAAACACGGTGATACCAAAATAATCATAAATTCTTTTTGCTAACTAGTTTGGAGGAAGAGTACACAATATAATATAACTACAAATTATCTATATTCGTCGTTTTTAATTGGATGGAGTGAAAAGACCATGAAGCTGAAACATGGAGACAGTTTTGAGAATCACAATACTGAACATTTTCAGTAGATTAAAAAATCTTTGGACACATTTCAGTAAAAAAACACAAGTGTTTCAGATCATAATTCTAAACAAAAATTATAAATATTTACATCATCTCGTCCGTAGTTATACTTAAATAAAGTACAAAATGAACATTCTTAAAATATAACAATTTCTTTTTTGTACAAAATAAGTATTACGAGAAAACATCACCTATTAATAAAGTATTACAAAATATTTTACCTCTTAACACATTAAAAATATCTTTATTAAATACAAATTCCAGAATATATCATATTTATTCAAATATTTCATAATATATCATTTCTTTCATATTATCCACCATGTATCAAAATTTCATTTCAAACTAATACTAAAAAATAAGTTCAATTTGATTTTAAGAATAATGTTGTCAAAGATTACAAAAACATAATATATTATTCCTAAAAGTTTTGCAGTTACTTTGAATATATTATTTATACATGTTTTATAGCTTTTCACGTTATTAACGTTATAGAAATATGGCATTTTCTTACAAAATAAGTGTTTTCGAAGAACTTGTATCCTCTGCTCATAAAGTTTTTTAAAATCCCTCTTAGGTAACACATTTAAAAAACAACTATTCGACAACATTTGAAATACAAATTCCAAAATATCATCTCCGAATGTCATTGTATTGAGAATCTCAAAATTATCTTCAAGAATCTCAAAATAGAACATTTATTGGGATTCAACCAGTTCAACATCAGCAACTTACATAAAGAAACAATATGGAAAAAACTGCCAAGTATGAAATTCCAACTCAACAAACAGAGGGGTCTACAAAAGAGTGATCCACTCTTTCCTATTAATTTCAAACGCCTTCGGTCATAAAAGTGCATAAATTAATAATTATTCATCACCACTGGTTCTTTTCTTTGTTGTGTAAGCGGCATACTCTTTCCCCTCGTCATGTTTTAATGTTTGACCACCGAAATCAATATATGCAGATGTGAATGCTAATGCCGATCCAGCAGAGAGTGCAGTTTTGATGCTCCTTCCTACACAATAGAAGGAACACAACATAAAACTTGCTACGAAAACAGCAGATTCAGGGTGACTTAATTAGACTACAACATCGGTAATCCTGGTTTCGCAATTAATATAAGATTCAGAAAGGTAACATAAAATACTTCTTGAGAAAGTTATAAAGGAAGGCTGAACTGTTAAACAACAACTTCATGATGAGAAATCATATTTAAGTTAGACCATTATAGCTGACAAGCAAATATGCATAAAGATACAAATCATGGGCTCTTCCATGCACAAAAATTAAAAATGGTCAACATGGATCAACTAATAATGAACTGTATAGGCAGGCAAATGGAGAGACTCAAAAGTTTGCCGTATAAGCCAACAGTGATATGCCATGAGACTAACATAAGTATGCTTGGGTCTTGGGATGGAGGGTTTTAAAATAAAAGGAAATAGAGGATAAATCATTCATCTCAAGAAAATGTTTTATAATATACGAAACTTTTAGAATTAAAGAAATAAAATAGAAAATTCTCACAAAACCTTCACCAATTATTCTTTATCCGATTTTATACACTACAAAACTTTATTGATTCCAAAATACCACCATCCTTTTCTTTCACTACAAAAACCTTCAGAACAATGGAACCACTAATCCAAGACAAGTAATAAATAAGTCAGAACTTGAAGTAAAGGATTTCCACAATATATTTTAAGACCAATATCAGCCTAATATATCATACTTTCAGTTTGCAGCGGGTGAATGGAGCAGCGACCAACAAAAAAAAGTCATTATACAATTATTAATAACTCCATACAATAGCCAAGAACAAACAATGTGTAGTAGCCAGAACCATCAATCAATAACATTTCCTCGTAAAAATTTCAGGCACATGTTTAGCTAAATAATTCATACAAGTGAGCGAAATACATGTATAAACTAACACAAAATGGAGTGGCTTTACAGCAATGACAGAAGAAACCAGTAGCATAGTATAAAGAAAGACAAATATAAACACAAAAAGCAGCAAAATTAAGCATCCATGAATGCATACTAATAGTATAAATAAAAATAAAATGAGTTTCTTCGTAAGTTAAAATTAACTCATGCACAAGTTGAAAAATAAAAATTTTATAGTCATATGTGAGAACTTTTACAAAGTAGCTTATGCATATACTAAATTTGACTTTTGGATAAACTCATTTTTTCTCCTGGAAACTCTTGTGGAGAAGTTAGTCCAAACAAACTCAAAGCACAGCTTAAAACATATATCAGGAAAAGAAATTAACCACAAAATTTACCATTTTTCAACAATCCTAAACAACAATCCATGGCACACAACACATCTTGAAATAGGCACTTCCATATGTCAGACCTGGTTCTAAGGCAGTGCAGACAAGTCGTCGAAGTGGTGTTGGACACAGCCCCTGAAACCAGATGCAGCCCAGTAACTGGGCACCCCAGTGACGACAAAGTCCGTGACTGGACATGCCAATGAAGACAGCCTGAAACCAGATGCAGTCCAGTCACAGGACATGCCAGTGACAACAAAATCCTGTCACTGGACATGCTAATAAAGACAGGCCCAATTACCAGACACACCAACAATGACAGACCCAATCTCCGTCAGGAACAAACCCTCATTTGGGTTTTTGATTTTTAAAAAAAATAAAAAAAAAAAGATAAATGTTCTCTTTTCCCTTACCTTCACAAGCAACCAGAATAATTCTAAGAATGAACCAAGAGGTGTCAAGCAGTATGGCACATAAGAAAATAAATGTGTAGTAGTGGCCAAGACTCTGGCTGCTACTATCAGTTGCAACCAAAGAATACTACAACTGCCTCATGTGCATCGCACCATTCCTAGCTGGCGAGTAGTCAGTAATTCCCCTCAGACAAATAGTGTTTTTGTCCCCTTTTCTCCCGACTCATGCAACTATCTATTTTTCTCTCGTTCTACTGCCACTCAAGTTCAATTATTTTATTCTATTTCTTTGCTTGCCATACATAACTGACTTTTCACTGCTTCTCCTTGGTTTTACAATTTTTCTTTTACTATTATAAAGGAGTTATTATGCTGTGACCCCGTGTCTACGTTTTTTATATTTTGCAGTGTCTAGTGTCCCAATCCATGCTACATAGGCAAACACAATTAAGCCTTTCCCACGAGGTGGGATTGGCTACACAATATATACCACATGATGCAAAAATGTTCAATCAGAAGTTATATCTATAGACACATTATTTACCTCCAGTCCTTAATTGCTTCACCTTCCTGGTCTACCTCGGCCTCTAGCCACTAGATTACCCTTCATCAGATCTACTCTCCTTATAGGGCTTCAACATCACCTAAGGAAACATTCTATCATCTTTTCTACAGTAGGTGCTGCTACCCCAAGCTTTTGTCTGGTGCATTAATTCCTAATTCTATCTTGTCCACTAATCTATTGCAACATGTTCAACTTCATAACATTAAGCGTATTCATTTGTCAGTTTTTTCCTGCCTAGCATTCAGTTCCTAATATAACATGCGGGTAGAATAAAAAGTTAGCATCAACAAAATATAACATGGGTTATGGCATAGAAACTCTCCTAGATCCAACATAAATGCATTTTAGACTCTCTAAACACATCATGCTACAACCAATCAACGAATAATGCACAATTGAATGAAAGCAAAAAACTTGTAGCTTCTTTTTTGGAACAAAAAAAGTGCCCAATATAAGGATTCTTCAGTGACAGTGAAAAGCACAGAGCAACAAAAGACCAAGCTTTCAATGACAACCAAAAATGACACAAGAACAACAAAAGGGTTAAAGAAGAAAGGGTTGGCCATAGATAACCCTTCCATACACATAGAAACACACATACAACCACAGACAGATTAATTCTCAAAAGCCAAAGAAGAACACATCATAGATTGGCTTCCTAAGCCGGACATCAGAAGTGCAAAAAGCCATCTAGCACAATGACATAACCATGTCAAAAAGCCAAAAAAACACATTGCTCAAATATACTAATTTCAGAGTGAAATGGATCAAGTCATTCTGCGTGATTCCAAAATCAATGACAAATCCATAGGTCAATAACAAACATTTTAGAATCCAGATATTAAATATATAAATTCTCAAAGATAAATATTTATTAAGGAAAATGGGCTACCTTTGTAACCCAGAATAGTTGCACCAGCAACAAATCCGCCAACAGCGCCATTGACTAGATCCCTTTTCATCCTATAGTTCTGCAACAACTGCTCTACACCTATGTAGACTCCTCCTATGGCAGCAAAGGTCAAACCATAGTTGCCCATCATCTTGAAAGTCCTCATCAGCCCTGGAAGGGCAACACTTCTCTCAACACGAGGGACATCATACCAGGTGGCAACCACAGTACCCCAGATAGTGCCAGCAACCAAACCAGTTGTTGCACCCTTTATAGTTTTCATGAGTGGTGTATCTTCATCCTCCAAGTACCTACGTTCTGCTGCGTCCACCATGATTTTCTCTACACACTATCAAAAAATTTACACAACTCATTAATCATGTCAAAAGATAAACACAGCATTTCATACTACAACCAATTACCACTAAACAGAAGAGGGAAGACAGTTTTAATCTCTCCTAACAAGAACATTTTGAAGGAAACCTAATCCAAATAAACGAGATTAAGTTTCCAAGTATCATATGCTTTCAGAATACACACACAGAATATATGTCACTGACCATTTTTCCATTGATAAGAAAACAGAATTACAGGAAACAGTGGTGTAATCAACCACCAGCAGAAATACGTCGAACCAATTCTACGGGAAGACAGGTGATAACAAATCCAAGAAAAAGGATTCCAAACCGGAAAATAACATTGGAAACATCCGCAACAGAGAAAGATGCAAAACAATTATTGACAATCATAAAAAATGAGTACGAAGAATCACACATACATTCAGATCGAGGACGTGCGCTACTTAGAAAGGAAATCAGATTGAAACCCTAAACAGATGTGTGAAGAAGGTATGAATGGAGTAAGAGAAGAGAAATTGGGGCACAGATGCGATATTGATGAAGAGAAAAAGAAGGGGTTAGCGGTGAGAATTTACCTCCGAGAAATTGAGAAGCGAGAAGATGGGTACTCGTCACTGTAAACTGGAAACACCCTCGACCGCAGTATTACATCAGGATTTTCTTTATCATATTTTCAATTTCTTTTTATTTGCTTTAATTTTTGTGCAGCACTGTATTATTTTAAAATATAATCAAGTTATTGTCGATCTCAATAAAAATGCATGGTCATCGAAGCACAATCTTGCAAATAAAAAAAATTTAATAGTTATTAAATAAAATTAATTTAAATTTAATAACGTGGAAAAAAAATATAAGTTTTGTAACTATTTTTTTTGTTAGCTCTTTAACTTGTTTTTTTAATAAGGTATTTTTGTCTGATTTTCTTCACCAAAATTTACGGAATGCAATCAGAAATGCAATATGGAGAATGGTGCTTCTAAAGTGTTACAGACACAATTGAATAAAAATAAAAGTTTTATTTAGAAGTGTTACAGGAAAGACAAATGATTTTACCTTTCAATTTCAAGTACATAAGTATCTTGTTCCCTTCCTATACATCTGAATCAGTCACATTTTGATGTCGAACACTAAGCATAAACTCTTATAACAATATTAAGATATTATTTTTAATTCAAAGTTTCAGAATAATAAATTTAATTCACCTTAATAATGAAATTTAAATTTAACTTAATAGATCTCAAGTTTTAAATCTATCTTTGATTTATTTAGATTAGATTAGATTAATTAGATCTCAAGTTTTTAAAACTACAGTGCTAAATTTTGTAATTTTGAAACATTTTTTAATAATTTTAAAATATTTTTTTGAAAACTAGACTGTATAATTATTATAAGAAAAATTATAAAAATTTCGAGCAACTGTCCAAGACTCTCTCCACAAAGGATCGTTACCCTTCCATCCTTTGAGCACAAGTGTGTAGTTAAAGGTTCTGTATACATCATGCAGAGCTGCCACTATTTATCCAAAAAATATACAATAAATATATAAATATATAGTTTAGAGAATGAGAAAAAAAAAAGTAATGTTTAAAGTTTCATATAGATTAAAAATAAAATCAAATTATAATATATAAGTGAAATACAAACATATATATATAAACTGGTTTTATGAGATTAGACTTAAAATTTCAGTTCTGGAAAGTTATTTTGCAAATTCTTATTTTGAAAATTTTATTCCAACACACATTTCATATGTTTAAAAATTATGTTCTGAAAATTTTATTTCGGAGATATTATTTTAAAAATTTCGAAAAGATGGTTCTGGGAAGTTTCCAGGGGGTGCAGGAAGTAAAATCCATTATTTAGTAATGAATGAAAAAAATGGAATAAAGTTGATTACAGAACGTCAACATATGATGTACCGCAACCACCAAAGCATCACGACACTCAACAACCAACGTCAACACGTGCTAAACTCCACTCCACCTGGTTCAACATAAACTATATAGGGGAATATGAAGTTCTCAAAACACGAAAAGGCCATTTATCATGTCTTCAATCGTATTCTTAATTCTCATAAATGTAAAATATTCACTTTAAAAAATCATAAGTTATCCTATATGGGTAAGTACAAACAATTTATATAATACTCTACATAACATAGTAACGAACAAAATGTATAAAGAAAAAGAAAGAAAAAACTATTACAATTAATTTAGGTAAAAAAGATCTATGAATATTCCCTCAAGTTGGATGATGAATACATATCTAACTTGGTAACAAGATTGTCAAGAGATATGTGATGAAGGGGTTTAGTAAAGGTGTCAACAAGTTTGACAACAGAAGAAAGTGATAAAAAACATATTAGACCTTGTTGTATTTTCTCTCTAAGTGAACAGATGATCTCAACGTTCTTGGTACATTCATGGAACACTAGATTATGAGCTAGATAAGGTCATGAAGAAGATAAATAGCCATTGTATTTCACAATTAAGGATGGTCAAAGCTCTATACTCAACTTTAGAGGAAGAATAGGAAATAGTAGTTTGCTTCTTTGATTTCTAGGAGATCAAAGAAGAGTCAAGAAAAACATGGACTCAATGATAGAGCATTAGGTATCCAATTAAAAAGCTCAATCAAAATCAGTAAGATCAATAATGATTCTTGATTTTTATTGTCTTCTCTTCATGTGATCATCTTTATACAAGCTTCTTTGAAAAAGATCTTTTACTTAGAAAATTGACTTTAACATACATAGGTGTATAACTTTTTGGTACCAGGTCAGATGCTATGTTGTTTTTCTAGAGGCAATTATGTTGTTGTACAGATACATCAAACATAAGACATTGAGAAAACATTCTCAGAATATCTTCCTATCTCTTAACATTCTTCTAAATCAATGTAGAACTTTTGAATAAAGTTTTGTCCTTTATAATTTGCATAGATAAAAAAAACAACACAATAGATAAGAAAGTATTATTCGTACATGCGTTTAAGTGTTAGACCTTTAACAAAAGGGTGGTAGATAGGGTGTTATGCCCCTGTCTACTGGCTTGTTTGAGGTCACAAAGAGATTTGCGCAACTTACAACCTTTAGTGGAACGAAAAGGAAGTAAAGTGAAGGGGGAACCATGTAAACCTCATCATGAAACTCTGCATGAAGAAAAACATTATATTCACATCAAGTTTTTCAAGCCCTTTAATGGCTAAGATGGCAAGAACAATTTTAATAATAGTGATCTTAGCAACAAGAGAGAAGGTGTCAAAAGAATCCATACCTTCTAATTGTTGTAGCCTTTGGCTACCAAGGGGGCTTATACCGCTTAATAGTGCCATCATCGTGATATTTAACCTTGTAGACCCATTTTCAACTAATAAGTGTCTTACTTTTGGGAATATCAACAAGAGACTGAGTTCATTTTATTGTCAAGCATGTAACTCAACATTCATAGACTTTTGCCAACAATCCAATTTAGAGCCTTGGGTAAAAGATGTAGGTTCAAAAATAGGATTGACAAAAAAACAATTTTTTTATAAGAGATAGTGCAATGGTTATGATTAAGAACAAAAGGTAAAGGATAAGCACAAGTACTTGCAGAAGAATTCTTGAAATAACTAGAAGCAATCACAAAATTGCAATAAAAATTTGCCAAATAAGATGGTTTGCGCCTAATGCAAGTGGAGTGGCGAATAGGTTAAGATCGAGAGGGGGATGTGCAAAGAATCTGGTTAGGGGCAACAAAAGAAGTAATGTCTACAAAAGGAGGATTGACAAGGATATTAGGTGAAGGCTTAGTGGATGAAATATCAAATATTAAAAGGGAGGTAAGGAGGAACATTGGTAGGAGAAATAAACACATTGAATGGAAACACATTCTCATGAAGAATTACATTTCTAGAAAGGAAATTTTGATGAGATTGAAGATCATATAAGACATATCCTTTTGTACCTTCTTGTATCCTAAAAAAACTAGCTTTGCTTGATCTAGGTTGAAATTTGGTTTTATGAGAATGAAGAGCACTAGCAAAAGCTAAACGAACAAAAAACCTTTAGATGAGTCATGCCAGGTGGTTGGGCATACAATAATGCATAAGGACACTTAATATTTAATAAAGGAATATACAATCTATGAATAATGTGAATGACTTGTTGAACAACAAAATGCCAAAATGATTGAGGCAGTAAAACTAGGCTCGTGCAACATTTAAAATGTGTTTATGTTTTCATTCAACAATAATGTTTTGTTGATGTGTCTCAATACATGTTCATTGATAAATTATTCTTTTGGAAGAGAAAAAATATTTAATAGAAACTTTACTCCATTATCATTGCAAAAACATTTAAAGTGTGCAATGAATTGATTTTCAATCAAGGAAATAAAATGTGTGAGATGTGCTCTAGTTTCATATTTATTTTTCAATAGTTTTATCCAGGTAAAGCGAGAATAATCATCAACTAAAGTAAGAAAATATGTATGACCGAATATACAAGATACAAAATATGGCCCGTAAATATCTCCATGAATAATATTAAAAATTTTATAAGAATGTGTTTCACTATTGTGATGTGGCAGTTGTTTTTATTTTGCATGGCAACTGCCACAAGGATAATGAGGTATACAATAAGGATTAAAAAGAAATTGTTGGAAAATGACACATAATATGGAACAAAAAAAACATGCCCTAATCTAAGATGCCAAAGAGAGGCATCATTGGAAGTTGCAGTAATGGTATGAGCAAAGGCAAGGTGAGAGTAACAGGGATGGAATAATAGATTTATCATATACGAACAACCTTGGATTGATATCATGGGAAAAGACCATGTTTGAAGTATTATGTGTAAACAGTGTGATTAGTTCTTTCACAATAAGAGCAAAACTTAGTGTCATATGGACCATTGTCTCAAAAAGTTCATCCTCAGCCTTTGTGAAAAGAAACACCTTGGTCGCATCCACTATGGAAATTTCTTGTATTAGAATTGCCCATACTTTTGGATTGTGAATGAAAATGAGTCATGACAATTAAAACATGATAGTGAAGAATAGAGTATGACGAAGTATGAAGAGAATGTAATTGTCGTTCTTATTGAACGAACATATTAAAGACTTTAGTAATCTCGAGTAAAGGATCGATCAACATAATCTGAGATTTCACTGAGACAAATTGGCCATTGAGCGTTTTAAGAAAAGGAATAATCTTGTTTCTTATAATTCTTGGTGGAAGCAACACCACAAGAAAATGTAATGTCACACTTACACAGTGAAAAACAGGACGAAAACTATCAATTTCTTCCCAAATGATGTGCAACTCGATGTGAAATTCAGTAATGAAAAGTGGACTTAGGTGTAATTTGTAGAGATCTTGTAAAGCAGTGACTCGAAAAATGTCTCCATGATGAAAGTAGTGATAAAGATCTTGCCACATCTCAGAAGCCATGGATTTCGATCATGAATTTGCCATATCTAGATTTCGATCTAGATAATATATTTAAGAATCTACTCATAGATCGATCGTTAAAGTCATGAGGGAACTATTGTATTACATCAATACAAATACTCATGAAAAGAGTTATGCAATAGTGGTTCAAGTAGGTTCCATAATGAATTTTAGCTTGTTTTTTAATTTGAGCGCAAGCTTCATTCCCCGAGGCTAATCATGATTTTTTGTCATCTAACACAAAAGAGACAAAAACAAGGGCAAGATTCTTATTGGAATGAAGGAAGAAAGGATTGGAAGGATTGGTATAGGGTTAAGAAACCATAACAAAAAGGGAGAATCAAGAATTTGAACCATGAGATACCATCTTATTTCTAAGAAATATAAAATATTCATTGTATTGAAAAATCAAGTTCTTCTAATTGAGTGTGTACAAACAGAGTTTATATAATACTCTACATAACAGAAACGAAACAATGAACAGAATGTATAACAGAAAAAAAAAAGAGAGAGAAAACTGTTACAACCATACCCAGGAAAAAAATATCTACTAATAATTATCACGTTTATGAAATTTCCATAATCTTGGTTTTTCATGTAGGTCGTTGCAGGGGATAGCATATTTAATAAGGGCACAGGACCAAATTAGTATGAAGGCCACGGTAGTGCAGCTCTCAAGGTTATGCCAATGAATCCCGATGATTTAGGATTTGATTTCACAGCTTAGGTTGAATTCGAATTTTCAATTTTATCTTTGCTGAACGGAGCATTATTGTGTTTCAGCGGGTGCTTCTTCTAGTTGATTAGCAGCGGAACAAGGGGAAAATAAATTAAGAACATAGGCAATGAAAACCATACCTTCTTTTATTTCAGACTTTGTTTAAAAACAAATATGACAACGAACGCAGTTTACAAATTGACTTCAACGGAAAATCAAACATGAAACTTAGTTTTACTTTTTGAAATGAACGCTGGGACCTCCCAGTTGAAAATCACATGCCTTGTTATCTAAGTCATTCAACTCAACACACTGCAAAACATTCTCAGGTGACCAATGTGTGCAACACTGTTCAAAATAGTCAAAAGATAATATCAAATAGCTTTGAGTAGGGGTAGCAAATAACAAAGAGTTTGTCCTCCCAATCACAAATACTTCCAGAGGAGACAGCAATGGCAGATGACACCATACCTATGCTGCCAAAACAGTAACAAAACACACTCTCAGGTGATTCATTTGGAACCTGAAAGTACCACAAAAGAAGCAAGGCCACCCACGCCTTGATTATCAGTTTAAACAAACCAAAACAAGCAAGTGATATCAGTCTGGTAAGTAACCAGGTAGGCACAGGTTTGTGCTATTTGTTATTACAAGCCACATAAAAAAAAAAAGTGCACTTAAAGTGACCAATGAGCAGATTCATATTCCCTGGACTGTTCTAGATCCATGAAATGCCTCCTTCCCTGTTGAGACAGATCTAACTCACCATGGAGCTGGCCATTCAGAGGCTGTGAAATATGACCCAGACCTAGATCAGGGACAACCTCAGGCGAACAGTTACCAGAATCAATGCCCTTGAAACACCACGAGGTATTTGGAAGTTCATGGAGTGATGCACCATGAGATGAAGCAGAAAGTTGTGTCATGGGTGTCCCGTTGAAATTTATCATATTATTCAACCCAAGACTTGGTGCTGTGTTTCTAGAACCCCATGTTTGACTTGACAGAAGAGAGAGAGCACAGCTCGAGTCAGTGACACCTGTGTAACTTTCCCCTGGAGGATGACCGGGACCGGCAAAGCTTGTCCCACCAACCGAACCCTGCAAGAAAATGTCAGATGGTGTCTCTGCGTTGCCGTGCCAGCTAAGTGTGGAGGTTTGACTTCCAGGAGCTAGCTCGGATGATCTAGGAGTTGGAAGTGAATTTCTCAGACTAAGCTTAGGATATGAAGCCAATTCCATCAGAAAGTTGGCCCCTCTGCCACTATTATCTGTCAAAAAAGGTGCCAAACATTAGAATGTGTTTTATATGTAATGCCAAGAATGGCACAAGCTGAAACTACACGTCCTTCCCTATAGAAAATTTGAGAGGCATGAAACTGATGTTTTACTGATAGTTTCTAACCAAAAGCAGATGAAGAAAGCCTGGCATAGCGAGAGGTTAAGAGAGAGCTGGGTGGGGGCTTTCTCCGACGTTCATTATGGCCAGCCAGTCGCCTGCGGCAACTTCTTTTTCCTTGATCAAACTCAGGAAGCTGGTGAAATCTGAGCAAGGCTATGAAACATGATATTAGTTTTTATAGCTATAACTTATAAATTATTCCAATTTAAGTCAAAGATAGATGAATAAGTGCAGCCATGCTAACATGACAAGACTATTGTTTCCTAGCATGACATGCTATCGTGTTGTCGCCACACGTATTGTTGCCACAAGACGAAATTTCTAACAGACTATACAGTCATAATTGAAAATAGTAAAGAGCACAAGCAATATAATATGTATAAACAATAGAAGAACGGTGTTTTTCCATTAGATGTAGCAATCTCGTTCACATTTTGAAATGACGCACATCATGTGAGCATGTCTAGCACTGAATGAGATAGCATATTAGCAGAGTATAAGATGTTACTTGACACCTGCTTTACAAAGACAATCCTTAAACATTGCTCAGATAACATCATGTGGTTCCATGATACAGAGAATTCAGCTTTAACATATTCGTAAAATAAAACTATGGACAATACCAATAACGCTCTTTCTCTTCTTTATTAGCAAAAGGGGAAGCAGTAAGAGAAGTTAAAAATCTTAAATATAGGGAATAAACCACAATATAGATCTTCCTATAGCCCCATTTGAAATGCCTTAAGTCAGGTTGGATGCTAGAAAAATCCATATTCAAAAATATGTTTGCATTATCACTGATATTAACACGTACTTTATCTAAGCATAGAGTATTGTTTTCGTATTTTCTGATTATTCTCACTATGAAAAATAGCTTGCTTCTCCACTAGAAATTCTACAGATCAAAAGTATAACTTATGACCTAGAAAAGCCTCTTGAAACACTGAAGAACCGTGAGACCAAAAAAGACAAAAATTACACTTGGAGCATATACCCAAAGGCTATCCCTGCTCCAAAAAATATACTGCAAAGGAAAACCACGTTCATTGACTAATGTGATGCAGCCAATGAATGGCAGATGTAACAAAAACAGTCTGCATAGCTAGAATCATAAAACATGATAGAAAGAAAATACGCAGGCACATAAGCAAGGCGTGTGGTTCGGATTTCACACTCATTCTCAATAAAGAGATAATAAGTCAATAACTACAGAGAATTAGACAACCTATCAAGCTATACATGAGTCTCGGAGGCAATACATGAACAATTAGACAATGTATCAAGCTTATGTCATATAAAATCTCATTATCTACTACCAGGACCCACTTTATGGATGGCCAGACAATGGAAGGTTGTGGCCACTTTCATAGTCCAATTAGCGGAAAACTATCATTATGATAATAATGCAAGCCTTAACCAACAACCCAAGCTTCACTAAGATAAAAAGGGATTGCTCTTGTAGCACAAATAACAAATTATAAAACACTTGATTCATAACACTACTGAAATACCTGGATTAATCTTTTCACGGATACGGACCTATAAAGTTTGCTCATGTTTGGTAATATATTATATTTGAGAAACAATAGGTTTTTTCAAAGGCTCTCTCAGTAATCTATAAATAGAAAAAACAATCATTATTTCCCCAAAACATGAAATCCAATCACTAAACAGTAATCACAAATTATAACAGCACATGAATACAGAATAGAGGGCCCATACCCCAACCCCACAAGGCTAGAGGTAGAACAGCAGAGTAGTGTAGTGTATTGTGATTTTCAGACTACAAGTTGCACACCCACTTCAAACCTTTTCCGTACAAACCGAGTTATTATTTTTAATACCAAACACACCTGGGTGCAAGAATCAATTCGCTGAAAAGGAAAACAATATTTCACACGCGTTATCAGACAGCCGTTCAGATAAGCACTTTAAAGCTAGGCTAGAGGAAAAAGCAAAGTACACCGTGCATAATCAACCAAATCATAACTGAACAAAACATCTCCAGAACGGACACGAAGAATCACACCAAAACTTGATCAAAAGAAAAACCACGATTAAGGAACTAAACCAACAACACCAAATAAATAACAAGCCTATAATTGCAACGACAAAACAGGATAACATATCTCACCTACAAACCTACACCACAGGCACCCGAAACCTTAGAATAACGGACAATTTTTTTAATAAAATAAACAACACCCTACCCTACTTTATCTTACCTCACCTATTATAGTAAAATATTAAAAGAGCACAAGAAGAAGAAAAGGAAAGAATTTTTTTTGTTTCAGGTAATAACAACAATGAAAGATGGGTTGACCTGCTACACTGTTGACAAAACCTTTGTTGAAGGCCAGCAACAATGACTGTAGGGGATTTAGAGTGCATGCCACAGACCTTGTGCCTAGAATAGTAAGCTTTAGCATCACTCAGATCTACCATACACCCTTCAACTTGACACCTTGGAGGCTGAGCTGGTTGAACAGACCCACCTCTTCCTTTCCTTGAGGAAGAGGAAGAGGAAGAGGAAGTAACACCAGCAGCAACAGCAGCAGAAGTAAGAGAAGTGGCTGGTGTAGCCAGACCCACATCCTCAAAATAGATTTTTTGGCCGAATTTCAAACCGTTGAGGGACTCAGAAGAGGAGAGTTTTGTGGCAGCAGCGTCTGAACCCATTGTTGGTGATGAGAGGTGTGGTGGCAGGCTAAAGTGTATTGTTATTGATGTTATTATTCATTGTGGTCTGTTTGACAAGAATAAGAGAGAAGAGAGAGAGAGAAGGAGGGAGAGAGAAAGAGAGATAGGGGTTGGTTGTGAAGTTGTGAATGTGAAAGTATTGTGTTTGATTCAAAGGAGTGGTAGTGGGAGAGTAAAGTGGAAGACAAAAGAGGAGGTGGAAGGGTAGGGGGGAAAAGGAGAGAGTTGACGCTGGGCCATAGTGGCAGTGGGCAGTGGCAGCGTGTGGTACACTGAGAAGAGAGAAGGAGTGAGTGTAGTCAGAGAACCAAACACACCCTTGTCTGTCCAAAACCAAAAATAATGGAGGTAAAGCGCCAGCTACGAGAGACAGATTGTACCCTCTTTTGTTTTTCTCCTTTTTCTTCCCTTCCCTTCTCAACTCAACAATTCAATTTCCCTCACTGCCTCCACATCCAAATCCAACGTTTCAAGTTTTAACCATTCCCGGCCCTAACAAGTGTAACTGTCGTTTTGTGCAACTTTTTCTGTCCCTGTCACATACTCGCTATGCTAGCTGGTTCTACATACGAAAGGGATGTATCCATCCACCCAAATTTTACAATAAAACAAACACATCTTTCTACCCATCCCTTCCTAAAATTCAAACACACATACCTTCACATTCACATATTAATTTCAGAATCAGCATATACATACATACCCATACTTTCAGAATCAAAACTACCACCACCAACAACAACAATAATAATAATAATAATTAACCCTAACCTCGCAATTCTTACCCTCTTCCCAGCTACACTAGCGTTTTCATAGAGGATCTCCTCCATTTTCCTCGCCCTGGAGAGTATTTCCCTTTCGCACCTATTTTCTGTTGCACAAGAAAGTAAAGGAAAATATCAAAATTGTAGTGTAACGTTTAGTATGCTTAAATGTTATTCAACGTTCTCTTACATTGTTTTTGGAAGTACTGTACAATGCAAGTCAGCGTTGATGGGTTGTTTAAGTAACGCCAAAGCGCCTCACTATAAATAATATCAAACAGTTCCATATCCCACAAAATGTATATTTTAAACTTGATTTGTGTACTTAGAAACTTTTTATTTGTTAGATTTGGGTTTCAATTCTTATGAATATCCTACTATTTAGTTTAGTTCTTAAAGTATTGTTCGGTTTGTGTCTTTCAAAAGTGAATTATCTGTCTCTTAACCAGTGATTTTGTTAATAGTAAGTTAGCAATTATAATCTGTGTCATCATTCTCTTTCTCACACGTACCCTCACAACCATCACGTCAACGAGTCCTAATCAATATGAAAAAGAATAAAAAGGAAAATTAAACATAAATTTTTTCAAATAAATAAGTACATAAAGATATTCTATATCTTTTTATTTTCTCTTCATTCCTTTAAAACTAAATTCAATAAAAAAAGTATAAAGTAAATTAAATAAAAATGTTGTACCTTCTTTCTTTTCTTTTCTTTTTTTCTCATTAAATTTTCATGAAAAAATTTCGTTTCTCTTTTTTTAGGTTAGGGAAATTGTTAAGGATTGGGAGAAAGAAAGGGAATATAACAAATGAGACGAGGAGAGTACGGCAGAAAAATGAATCCTAACAGCTTCTAAGTGAGATTAAGAACATAATTTCAAATATAATCAATTATTAAATAATGAATCCGTACAGTTCAAAACATAAAATATAAATATAATGAATACTTTTTTTATTAAACTTTAAAAATATATTATTTTTAATGCATATTTTAAAATTGTAAAACTAAATACATGATATATAATATGAATACCTGTTTTTTTATCACTCAACTTAAATCAATATAAGGATTTAGTTTTGTTGATTTAAAAATGGGTGGGTTATTATAAAAATATATATATTCAACTCTTATCAATTAACGTAAAACTATTCCAAGTTAACTTAAATATAAATATGTCATTTTATTAAATGCTTGTCATAATAACTTTATCCTTTTAATAACTCTACCCAATAAAAAGTTCAATGGAAAATACAAAATATAATAATAAAAAAACCTTTAAACTATTTCAAATTATACCCTTTTTTATTTTGTATTACATTTGACTTTCCTTTTTTTATATCTTTTAATTCACCATCTTTTATCTCTTAATTTATCATTTTTTTTATCTCCGTCTCTAAATTAAATTTGTTTTCTTTAAATATTAATATTAGAATAAATTATATATAAGTTTAAATGAAAATTTTAGTTAAAGAATTTATATATTATGATGCTATTTTTATAATAGAAAAAGTTATCACTACTTCGATAAAAAAAAATTAGTGATCCATTTCTCAATCATTATCCATATACTACATTCCTTCTTTTAATTACCACTCAAAATCAAATCAATGTAATTCCAAATCAAAACAAATGATAAAATCATCAATAAAATAATTCAAGTTTATATTCACATCTTAAATCAATTTAATTTCAAACCAATTTTCATAATATAAAATTTCAAAGAATAGTTCATTAAATCACACAAAACATGATTGGTTTATATTAATCTTGTACACAATCCCATAAATTATCCTTTAACCTACATATTTTTAGATACAATAAATAATATATACAATAATAATTCTTATCATTAACATTTAAATCTATTCATAGGTATCTAACCTATTTCTTTCTAGAATATCTATGAAACACTTTCCCAATATCAAAATCACGTTAACTTATAAGTTTATGTTAATTTCTCTTTATGTTTTATTGTGTTTTAAGAAATTATATTATAACACCTGAAAAGTTAAGAAAGTTTTAACTTATTTTTAGGAGACTTAATATTCAAAAACCAAACATTATCATGGGATTAACGATAAGATTTATGTTTGTGTTTTGGGCGTATGGGTTGAATATATATATACTTAAAACAATCTTTTTTATTTTTTAGTTTCTTTTCTTTTTATTTGGATATTCGGATTGGATATATTGGCTAAAAATATTTCATTTTACTTGTATTTATATATATTTTTTTATAGGTTTTTAATTAAGATTAGGCTAATAACAATCTAATTTTGTTAAATCTAATTATTAACTAGTTTAGATTAGATAAATAATTAACTGATTCTCATAGACGATCAATTTTTTCCAACTCAAACAATCGATTTAAGAAACTTCGACTGGTATACGTACATATATCATACAGTTTGCAAACCAAAATAGTTAAAATCTCTTTAGAAAATCTAGATTTAATTATTTAAGAATGAATTTTAAATTTAAGTTAATTTTATAAAATCAAACACATCACCATGATTTTAAACTATAATAAAGATTAAACTATAAAGTTAAAATATTTCTGTAGAATCTGAATTAATTCTTTAAAAATAAATTTTAAATTTAATTAAAATTTATAAAATTAACTAGATTAAAATTATATATCTAGTGGAGACGAGATAATGTGAGTGACCAGGCGGATAAAACCTGTTGCCTCCTGGATTAAAATGTATCACTCACTACTGTTAGACACCTTCCCTACAATTCAACTCACACCAAATTATTTTTCATCAACCAACCTGAAAGTCAGTTTCGAATGATACGAAGAAACTTAATTATTTAAATAGTATTAAAAAAAACTGAAAGTATATACAATACGACGTATGTACTGACGATTTAAATAATATAAAAAAGGCATGGAAAAGTAGTAATATATATTGAATGAGTTGAATGTAGGTGGGTGTACGTAAGAAAAATTGTATGAGTAGATGATTACCCTATTCAGCAGTCGATGGTAAAAGTGAGACATGAATGCAGCCATGAAATAGGTCCTATAATATATATATATATATATATATATATATATATATATATATATCGGCAATACAATAATCAATAGGAAGGTAACATAAGATGCCAAAGTGGTTAAGGATGATGAATCGTGGCAGATTCTGAAACCAGCCACATTTTCTGATAAAAAGGCTTTTTCTGTAATTTCTATCTACCATCGTATAGACAAGATCTGAGTCTGCACAGCATCTTATCAATAACGACGCAACATCAACTAAAACTACTCTTACTTCCATCACTCCTATAATTTACCCACTGCAAAAAATACACTATAAGACGAGAGATGATACAGGGAGATGATTTGAATGGATTTGAGTAGATTTAAGGATAATTTTTTTATTGTTATTTTGAGTGGATTTGTGGGTAATTGAAAATAGATTTAAAAATAAAGTTTGTGAGAATTAATGTAAGATTTGATTGATGCTATAGATTTAAAAAATTAGTTTAATTAATAAAAATTAAATATTATCAAAATGTCCCTAGTTATTAAAGTAATATAAAATGTTATTTATTAATGTTATATTTAATTGTAAAAATGTTTATAAAGAGACCAAAATCATAAATATTTTTTAAAATTAATTTTTAAAAATTATAAAAATTATAATGTAGTAAAATAAATTTATTTTTAAATATAATATTTGTTTGTAATATAATTTACTATCAAATTAATATTAATATTATTATTATTAATTTATTATTATTAATTTATTATTATTATTATTAATTATTATTAATTATTATTAATTATTATTATTACTATTATTAGTTATTATTATTTATATTACTATTATTATTATTATTAGTTATTATTATTATTATTTATTATTATTATTATTACTATTGTTATCATTCTTATTATTATTTATTCTTAAGGTTTAATAATTCAGGAAGTCTCTATTTTCGGGTAGAATTTTAATTTGGTCTTTTTCTTTCTAGGCGTCTCAATTGGGTCATATTTTTGTAAAAATTGCAACAATTCGACCCTGCCTACTTATTTTTAATTAACTTGGCTGAATGATGTGTATTTAGGTAGTTTTAAAATTAAAAAAACTTGGTAAAACTCCCCTAAGCCGCACAAGATTCACGTGTTGAATATTCCCAATCGTGGAGACCTTCGCCCTGAACTCCTTCTCCCCACTCAATGGCCTCTCCAACCTCTTCACAGCCACAACCGAAGCATCACTCAACTCCCCTTGAAACATAGTCTCAAACCCTTCGTATCCCGATCTTCTCTGAAAAATAAGCCTGAATCTGAATACAATGAATGTACTATGAATTGAGTTTGAGGAATCCCAGAAACAGGAACAATCATCCTCCATGGAAGAAGAAATAGAGAAACAGAAGAAGCACTTAGCAATGGTGGAAAGGCTTTCGAAGCACCCCCAAAGTCGTTCAACAAAGCCCAAATCTTCAACAGAATCTGCCTCCTCCGTCCGCTCACACTTCTCCTAACTGAAAACCTCCATAGAGTTCAAACTCCAACAATCCTAATCTCTTTCCTTCGATCCACCAAACCTCAAACTCCATTTCCAAAGCATCTCCGAATCAATCTTCGATCCACATGTTGCTTCTGCTTCAGCAGATTCTTTCCCCCACCATGAGTCTCGACGCTCTGAAGAACATCAATCGCACTGGTTATGCTATAATCCAAGTCAGAAACAGACACAGGCACAGCCTTAACAAAATCTGGTGCAACCGTTTCGAATCCAAACACTCACAATCAAAGTATAATTA